AAGAATTCCAGGGTAGGAGGACCAGCATGGAAAATGATACAGAGGCATAAAAAACCAAGAAGGTCCAGGGTACTATAAAGAATTGTCTCTCAAGTAAGGACTTCTGATAAAACAAGCTGTCAGAGATAAGAACAGAGTAGGGACTGTAAAGTTTGCTCTATGCCAGACCATGAAGCATCTCAGGTACCATGCTAGGTAGCTGGGATTTTATCCCCCAAGCTACAGGATGGCAATGAAGAAATTTCGGAATAATTCTCTAATCTGAAGTTATCTAATGATGACAACAACCCAACTGTCCTTCAGTGAATGAATGGTTAAAAAAATCATGAAACATCCTTACCATGAGCTACTGCTCAGTAAAAAGAAGGAATGAACTATTGATACACACAATCTGGATGAGTCTCAAGAGAGTTATGCAGAATGGAAAAAGCCAATGCCCAAATATTACAAACTGTATGATCCCGTTTATATAATGTTCTTGAAACCACAAATTATAGAGGATCGGGAACCAGTGGATGCTAAGGATTAGGGCCTGCGAAAGAGGACGTGGATGTGACTGTAGAGGGGTAGTATGAGAGATTTCCCTGGCGGCTCAGACGGTAAGGCGTCTGCCTACAATGTGGGAGACCCGGGTTCGATCCCTGGGTCAGGAAGATCCTCTGGAGAGGAAAATGGCAACCCACTCAAGTACTCTTGCCTGGAAAATCCCATGGATGGAGGAGCCTGGTAGGCTACAGTCCACGGGGTCGCAAAGAGTCGGACATGACTGAGCAGCTTCACTTTCTTTCTTTTTCACTTTGTGGTGATGAAGCAATTCTAATGCTTCATTGTGGTGGCAGTTACACAAACTTATACATGTGGTTAATTGCACAGACATAGAAATACACACACATGAATGCATGGTAACCAGTAAAATCTGAACAAATTCTATGGATCGCAGTAATGTCAATCTACTAGTTTTGACTCTGTGCTATAGTTATACAAGATGTTCTCACTGGAAAAAACATCATTTAGTTACATAAAAATTCCCTGCATTTTTTTGTGAATGTCTGTGATCTATAATTATTTGAATTAAAAAATTTAATAATGCCAAAAAAGGTAGAGTGGATTGACTCCAAAAAAGGAAAAGTTTTATAGTGGAATTAAGGTTTATTGCTTAGACAATTTCCTTCTTGTAAATAATTCTCTTAAGAATTTCAAAGTGTGTTTTATGCAACTATATAACACACAGTTATATTGATATAAATGTATATGTTACAAATAATACTTTTTTCATGAAATTGGGTTCATTGACATTCAACTTGTTCTGGAACTAAAGTAAAAATTTTGGAATAGAGGAGTAGCTTATCAGCACAAATGTGTTCAAACATGAATAACAAAAGCTCTGAGATCACGTCCATCACTAGTAAATGGATAATTCTAAAAAAAAAAAAACACCCAATGAATCAATCAAACAAAAACAACCAAAAAAACCTGGCTTAACTTCTGTTCTGAGTGATTTGCCTTTCTTAGGATAAAAGATTCATGTATGTACCTACCTCTATGTGATGTCCACCACATGTATATATATCATCACATGTATGTATATCATGTAAACATCTATCATGTATACCTGCAGAGTGCATATCAAACTCGAACAGTGTGATGAACTTTAATATTAAAAAAATATGCAAAGCTAAGATAAAGGGCCTCTCATGTATTAATAAGGCACAAGTATAAAAACTATAAGAAACACAATAGTCCTGTATTATCTACACACAAGATAGTTCCCAAGATGGAATTTTGTTCTCTTGAACTTATAGTGACATTTGAATAGCAGATTGCTCTGGTGGATTTTTTTTCTCACCATCAGCCTTGAAACAATAGTTAATTTTATGTAAGATTCTTGCACAATGCTAATGTGAAGGTAAAAGTGGCTTAGAGTATTCTTGCAAAATTCAGATGCTTCATACAAGTGAATATTAATTCTTTCTAAAATCCCAAGTTCACAAGTTCCTTATTAATGTCAGGTTGGCAATGTCAGGATGGAAATTATAAGCTATGAGTTTTGCTTTAAAAATCATATGGTATTAAATGAATAGAAAGCATTCTACTCAGGATTGTAAGTAGGTCCTCAGTGGCCAGGTAGCCTCCTACAGCAAGGTTGAAACCTGAAAGAAGTCCCTGGGATGGCAAATAGGTGGCAGATATGGGCACAATGACTCACGCCCCAAGATGCAACCACAGCAGAGACAGTAACCTCAAAATGGACAAATAGGTTCGTTGAGGTCTGACTATGAACCCCCCAAATACGGCCTTCATAAAAACATCTTATAGTAGAAAATTATTATGTATTTATGAGTTTGCTTATTCATGGTCTGTTTTCCTATGAATGCAAATCCCAAACCTTACCTGGTTTCTATACATTTGTGTACCCATTTCTGATAGGGTTCTTGCCACAGAACAGGTGCTTAGTAAATATTTGCTGATTAAATGGATATCTCTTTATTTCATAACTTTTTTTTTGACAATTACTGAGTGGTAGACACTTTAAAAATTCTGACCAATGCTACGAACCCTCTCCTCAAAAATACACACAGGAAGACAATATTTTATAGGACTCATGGATCCCAACTAAGTTGTGCCAATGGAAATCATTTTCAAGGATGAGGAATATTATTATAAACACAATTAGCCACTGATTTTCCATTCGAGATCCTTCAGGCATTCTCCTGATTGTTCACCCAAACCAATTACCTCCCCAACTCTATGGCACTATTTTTTTAAATTTTTTGCTACATTATTAGTCATAAATAGTTTTTGCATACACATCAATGTCAAAAAATATAACTAATATAACTACTAAAATATTTCTATCATTTTTATAAAGTATATTATAGGCTCTTTCCCTCCCACTTCTGTTTTTCTCTTCTTTCTTTCTCCAACCCTAAGAAAGTCTTAGTGTACATTTGGCATAATCTCCTGATCTCTTTCCTAAAAGGTCACTCTAAGTAGAATTTGAAAGACAAAGGAGTTAAGTCACACTCACAGACACACAAAGCCACCTGCCTGTCATAGATGGAACAATTCAGAATAAGAGGGGGAGTGGAAACCAGGTAATGTCCAGTCACCATAAACAACAAATACTTCAAGTTATCCTGAAGACTGCAGATGGCTAGCTTTTTGTCAGAAAAGAGCTGTTCTTAGTTGATAGTAATGAAAGATGCCCAAGTGAATCTTATACACTGAGCTTTTGGTGTGTATTACCATTCAAACTGAGCTGAGCTATATTATCAGCAAAACCTTAATGGAAATCTCCTGCCTTCCTAAGATGAAACTCTTCCAATACACTGATTCACAAGCAACTATGAAACTCTGCCACAAGAAATGAAGGGTGTTACTATTTATCCCTTCTGGCTTACAAAAAGAGCTCTAGGTGCTGCTGAAGGCCACAGTTCGAATTCCCTCTGCAGTCTGCTTTAACCTGAGTGTCCCGCTCCCAGGGGCCCTGCCCAGGAAGGCGGCAACTCCTCTCCATCTCCATCAGGGCAGCACAGGTGCAGGCGGAGTGGCATCGTGGCCACCGGGCAGAGGCTGGGTGTGAGCCCCAGGAGCAGCAATGGAGAATGCCAGTGCGCTCAAGACTGCAGCCCTCGTTGTCAACCTGTCATGGGGCCCCATTCTTCACCCTGGAAATATCAGGAGAAGCAGAGGTCCTCACACCAGTGATACTTCAAGGACTTGCCTGGAGTTAGGCTGCTTGCACTGTACTGCAGCGGGGGCAAAGCGCTCTAGCTATAAACTTTTAGTGAGTCTACCCCATCAAAGTCAAGGCTTTATTTCTTAATGGCTCAAAAATATACCAAAACAACAGGGCTTGCTGTTTTTTCAATGAGATTCCCTGTTAACTCTGCAAAGAAACTTGTTTCAAGAACAACTTTTCTAGAAATCGGTTTGAATGCTTATTTCAGAATCCCCATAAGAAAAACCTAGTCTTAAGTGTTCATGGGCATTATTTTAATTGTATTAAGTTCCTTTCATCCTAAAACCTGGTTCCTAGCAAAGATGAGGGAAAGCTAAATGTAAATAATCGACAAAGTCATATCTGCAAACTAGATCACCAAAGCCTTTGGAAAACACATCATAAGCTCTTCTCTACATCTGCAAAGACTTTTAGAGACAAAAAGCACAGGAGTTTTAAAGAAATAAAGTCAGAAAGATTCGGCACAAAACAAATACAACGAGGAGGCAAGAGTCACAGAATTAAATAATGAAATTTTCTACTTATCAAATTTCAGTCATTCCCTATTAAAGAGAGCATCAACTATTACCAGGAAGATTTCCAACTCTGGAAAGCAGCATAGAGGAAAGGGGAGCTTAAAAATTTATGAAGAAATCAATAATATCACAACAATTGATTTTTCCTCTATATTTCATAAGGTATTTCAAGAATACTGTATTTCAAGAATAATTTAGGTTTAAGTATGTCAATGTTCAAACTAACTTACCAATATAGGTGTTTCTTCCCTGTAACAGAACTTCCTTAAAAGGCTGCCCAGCATTTGTCACCTTGGGCTTTTAAAAAATAAATAAGAATACAGTACTAGATGGAAAACTATTTTTAATAGTATAATCACAGAAACTACATTCTGTACCATAAAATAGAACAGGCACATTTGCTCTTGAAAAGCTACTCTCATCTCAATACCAGTTTTCAGCTGCTGTGTTATTCTCTGAAGACGAAATTCATACAGCTCCTAAGATGTTCGTAACACTTAAGAATATACAAAATGGGCCACAGTTTTTAAATCCAATACATAATACAACACCACACAACCACCTTGGGTTTTCCACTTTCCTAAGGAAAGACACCTTTTCTATTTTAAAGACACCCGAAAATTCTAAATTAAGCAGCCCACCAATAAGTAAGTCACTTTTCAAAACCGAAGAATTGTCTCCACTACACCGGTAATAGAACACAGAAACCCGGGGCAGAGGGAATCTTATCAATACGTCCATACCTATATTTCATGCCAGTCTGCTTTGCAGTGGACTCTTTGAGAGAGATGTGATGCTGAGGGGTGAAGGTGCCCAAGCTGCGAGCGATGATAGCAACCGTGCGGAATTTGGCCCGGGCTGCGTTCACCACATTGGGGGCGGTGGAGCTCTGCTTGCTCAGAAGTCTGTCCTCACCATTCCGACTCTTCAAATTATGCTCGGTGCAGGCTATGGAGACTTGCATTGCTTCCCCGGGCACCGCGCGGTCCCTCTCAGAACCCCAGAGCACAGGCAGTCAGGAGAGATCGAGCAGCTGGGAGGGTCTGCTCGCCTTTTAACCCCTCCTTGCTCCCTCTTCCTCGGAAAGCCGGCAGAGGAGTCCTCGCGGCTGGCTTCCGAGTCCGGGAAAGTGGCAGGAGCGGCCGCGGCGCAGGACAGGGTCCCAGACGCCAACAGAAGTAAACAGCCAGCCCTTAAGTTGTCACGGCAGCTGGAGCGCGGATCAGGCTCGCAAATCTTCCCAGGCAGTAATCTCGCTTGATTGAACAGCCGAATCCGTGTAGTCGGGAGGCTTGGGCAGACGCCTGGAGCTAAGCATTCGTGCCGACTGCACGCAGCCCCGCCAGAAGCCCGTCCGCCGTGCCTGAATGCGGGCTCGCCTCTGGGCGATGGCTCACATCCACGCAGGCACACCGCAAGATGCGCCGCCAGCACCCTCTGGACCACAGGCAGGATGCTCTATTGGCGCGTGGAGCATCCCGAGAAGCAGCTAATGGCGAGCCGCTCCCCGGGGGCCGGAGCTCCCCATCCACTCAGGCTGTCCGCTCCCTCCCTGGCCCACTCCGGGAGGTCCTAGGAGCTCCTCAAGACCCCTCCCCACTCATTTTCAGGCAGAAACCTGGGTCTTTGAATCCGTACCCACGCCGTCTGCGGCTGCAAGGAGGGGCAGGAAGGTCCCTTTAAAGATCTCCTTGCCTTTGTGTGCGAGGGGAAGGCAAGAATCACTTTCACCAGACTCTTGCTGTAAAGAAGCTGGAGGACTGCTTTTCAAGAGGGACTCTGCCCAGACTCAGACCAAATTCTGCTGCACCACAACATTTGGAATGGGGGAAGGAAGGATGGGGGTGCTTATGCCAGAGAACATGCCAGTGAATTAACACGTGAATACTCGGTGACTGGTGTGTTACAGCACAGCTTGAAATCCCTGTTATTAGCCTTACCAGCATTGATTTCACACTTGCATGTTACTTAACTTCTTAAGCAAATTAGTTTGAAGTTTACTGAAAAGACAGTGCAGACTTTTCAGTCAAGTAACCTAACTTGCTGCAAAATCTATTCTGGCCCACAAAGGAGGCTGAAGGATGGGAGAGGAGGCAGTGATTTGGTAGCACCCAGAAGGTGGCTGCACAAGGTAAGCAGAAGGTCCAAGTCACCATCCAGAAAGGTCCAAGGCAGGTGACTGGGACCATGAACACTGCCTGCTGGTCATCTGTGACCAGCTGGTGAGGACAAGCAGTATTCCCAGGTCAAGGGTAGGCAGCAAGGCACCTCCTGTCTTCTCTGAATGCTCCTGTGAGGCAGAAACATTGCCTGGTTCACTATCAGGTTCAAAGCAACTCCTCAGTAAATGTGATTGAACCAAACCAAGCAGCAGGGGGCTAATAATTTATCTCTTTGTTTGAAATGCTGGCAGTCAGAGCTTTTTTTTAGATAGATGTGCTTACAATAAAACTGAGGGGATTCCCTGGTGGTCCAATGGTTAAGAACCCGCCCGCCAATGCAGGGGACAAGGGTTAGATCTCTGATTCTGGAAGCTCCCACATGCAGGGGAGCAAAAAGTCCTTGCACCAAAACTGCTGAGCCCGCATGCTATATAACACCAGAAGTCCGAGTGCTCTAAAGCCTGTGTCTGCAGCAAGAAGACTTGCAATGAGAAGCCCGTGTACTGCAACAAAGACCCAGTGCAGCCAAAAATAAATACAATTTTCTTTAATTAAGATTTTTAAAGTTTTAAAATTAAAACTGCGCCTTCTGCAAAATCAGCTCTCTAAAGGTGGTTCCCAACAGAAACTGCTGTCAAGAAAAAGCAAAGTGTTTAAATCAATGAAATTTGTAAGCACCATCTCCGTATTAGGCATTAGAAAGAAATGTGGAGGAAAAAATTATACTTCTCAAGGAACTGGCAACCTGGATGGGAAGAAAAAAGCAATCACCCTTAAAGAGATTAATTACCAAGGTTTGAAAGAGTGGTACGGACAGCAAGTATACTGGAGTTAAGCAGGGGAATGATTATAGGAAGCTAGAGAAAGTTTTTCATTTTGTTTTTTTTTTCCCCCCATTTATTTTTATTAGTTGGAGGCTAATTACTTTACAATATTGTAGTGGTTTTTGTCATACATTGACATGAATCAGCCATGGATTTACATGTATTCCCTATCCCGATCCCCCCTCCCACCTCCCTCTCCACCCGATCCCTCTGGGTCTTCCCAGTGCACCAGCCCTGAGCACTTGTCTCATGCA